GAGGAGAATGGAGGAGAAGGGATTGCGGCGTGACCATCCCCCCTGGGGGGTGATTTCTCGCTTTCTGTCTCTATGTCTCTCTCTGTCTGTCTGGCGAGCGCACGCGCCCTACAGTGAAAATCTCTCAAAAAAAAAAAAAAAAGATGGCTAACTCTGTAATCAGTAGTTGATTCCTATGGAAACCAACTCCCATTCAGAGGCTATGCAGGAGTCCCCCCTTTACACCATCAACTCATTAGCATACCAGCCAAGGGGCCCAGCAGTAATGCAAACTCTGCATTGCTGAAACCATACTAGAAGATGCTAAGTTTGTGTCCTGAGGTCTCCTCTATGGTTGGGGCACTCACACATACCTAGAATACTGACTGGCAGAGACTAGGCTAGGGGTGGACTGTGGTATGAAAACCTCTTGGAACTATCTGTCTCTCTTTCTCTCTTGTCTCCAACTCTTTCTCTCTCTGAAAAAATAAATAAACTTAAAAAAAAAAAAAAAGACACTTAAGACTTTGGAGATTCTGAGGATTTTAGGAGTTGCAGACCAGGAAAGGGAACAAAGCCAAATACATACTTCATGACATCACCACAGTTGCAAAGTCCCTTTTGCCATTTTGGCATGTTGTAGTCACATCAGTGAGAAATGAGAGGACAACCAGACATCACCAAATTACTGGGGTTTATTGCTGGTGGCTTACAGGAGGACTCATGTCTCTCAAAGACCCTGCAGTCGCCAGTGAAAGGAGACGGGTGCTTATAAAGGCAAAAATCACAATAATTTCTTGCTATGTGAAAGGACTTATAGAAGCCAAAAGGAGCAGAGTAATGATTTCTAAGGACACTCTCCAGACCTTTGTTTAATGGTCCTCAGGGCTCCTGGCAGGGGTCTAGTGATTGTTGATTACATTGCTAAGAAACTTTTAAACAAAAAGAATTTGGGCTGGTTAGCAAAAACAGTAAGACTATTAATCACTCTATTTATTCTGGGTAAAGGAGGAAGCAAGTATAATATAAAGTTCAAAGATGAAGGTGCTTCTGCTTCAGGCAGAATTCAGAGGTTCCTGGGATGGGCATGTAAGCTTATTTTGCGGTCTATTATTTAGCCTACCGCGATGTAGACTTAATAGCTACAACATTGCCCTTTCACTCCTAAGGAAGTGACTACTTGTTAGGAAGTAAAATGGAGATACTGAATCATGTTCAAGGTTAAATACATAATGAAAAGTGCGCAACCACCTGGAAATTGTTTTGAAAGGAACAGTCAGTGAGCAATAATGAGTGGGGCAGGGCAACAGCTCCCCCACAGAG